CGCCACAGTGCCTAGCTATTTTTTGGTTGCAGCTGGCACTGCTGTTTGGTGGGCTGGGCTGGGTTTGAACCCGCCATCTTAGGTGTATGTAGCTGGTGCCTTAGCCACTTGAGCCACAGGCACCGAGCCAACACACTAGCCAATTTCAAAGGCTCAATAGCCAGATGTGACTACTGGCTACTGTGCTGCATAGTGTAACTATAGACTCTATATTTCACATTAATTGCTTTTTAAAGCATATAAATTTAGTTACTAAGTTTTATGTGGCAGGTGAGTCTACATAAGAAAAAGAAGACAGCAAAGAAACAGGGAAATTTGTATTTTTATGCTATCTTATAAAGAAGTGCGTAGTTGTGGAGAAGTATGACTGAACAAAGAGGGTGTGATCCATTCACATATAATTTTAAGAAGCTTTATTGTCCATATTCATAGTACACTAAAGATTGGAAGAAGAAATGGAAGATGACTAGAAGTGACGGGAAGATCAGCTGTTCATTCACACTGATACCAGTGACAGGTGATATTTTAACAGTGAGGAAGAAAGAAGAAAATCAGAAATATGAATTAGAAGCTTGAAAGTCTAAGGCTATTCAGTGTAAGGGTAAGTAATTCAACATACCCTTGAGAGACTATGAAAGTCTAACTAGTCAATCACTGATTAAAACTGATTTTTATAATGATAATCCTGAGCTATCAAGAAAAAGATAAATTCTGCATATTATAACTACTGTGAGAAGACAAGGAAATACATATATTCTTAGAAGTCTTACAAAAAGAGTTACAAATGTTGGCTTGGTGCCCATAACTCAGTGGTTAGGGTGCCAGCCATATACACTGAGGCTGGTGGGTCTGAACCTGGCTTGGGCCTGCTAAACAATAATGATAACTACAACAACAACAAGAACAACAACAACCAGCTGAGTGTTGTAGTGGCACCCTGTAGTACCAGCTACTTGGGACGCTGAGAGAGAATTGCTTAAACCCAAGAGTTTGAAGTTGTTATGAGCTGTGGTACTCTACTGAGTACTCTACTGAGAGCAACATACTGAAACTGTCTCAAAAAAAAAAAAAAAAAAAAAAAGAAAGAAAAGAATTACAAATGTTAAAAAATTTAATTGTGTGAAAAAAGCAAAATCTTAGTTAACTGGAAAATTCATTTATGTGAAATATTTCATTATCTGATACTGTCAACAAAACAAGAATTACTCTGTTGCCAGGCACAGTGGCTCACGCCTATAATCCTAGCACTCTGGGAGGCTGAGGCTGGTGATTACTCGAGCTCAGGAGCTCAGGAGACCAGCCTACCAAAAGTGAGACTCCATCTCTACTAAAAATAAAAAAAACTGAGGCAAGAAGATCAATCGAGCCCAGGAGTTTGAGGTTGCTGTGAGCTATGATGCCATGGCATTCTACCCATGGTGACAGAATGACACTCTGTCTTAAAAAAAAAAATTACTCTGTTACCCTTATAAATTCTAATCTCTGTTAAGATTTTAACCAGATGTCTTCTTTATTCTAGTGTTTTGAAATCTGTGAACTTATTTTATGAATTTATAGACTCTAACCTTAAATCCTGCTTTTTTCATAGTCCACTAGTCCTATTTTTAAGACAAGTCCTCACCTTTACCTCTCCGTGATTATTTTAGGTGCTCTTTTTGCATTTTTTCCATGTGCTTCACAACATGCACCCCATTAGAAATACATACAAAAAAAAATCACAGGTATATGGTTTGGTTTAAGAGTACATTTAAGGATATCTTTCTAGAATTTTATAGCAATGTATGGGCTGACATCTTGAAGGGAGTCTACAGTTACGCATGAATTCATCCCTTCCTAGGTTGAAAGTAGTATCCCAGAATCTGATTTCCTAAAATTGTATACTAGATTCTTTTTCCTCAAGTGCAACATAGTAAAAACAATCTCAATTGAGTTTCACATAACCAGTTCACCAAATTAATCAGTACTTTCTATTCTCTCTGTTGAACTTAATGACAGATGTTGACGGAAAGTCATGTATTTGAAATTGTTGGCCAATCTCAACATCCTTGTACATTCTAGCTCCCCGCAGTTGATCTCATCTCAGTATTTACTGTCTTTTGTGTTTGCAAACCAATCATGCTTATTGTACTTATTATTTTAATTTTATTACTTATTGCTGTGAAGTAATGGGGCTTTTTGGAAATACTTCTGCTGGAGGCAGAAGTTAACTACTTGTGGACATTGGGACATTGGTTTTCTTTTTTGAACTAGGTGAAGATTTAACTTCAAAGACAACCAAGTTTAGTTCAACATCAGAAGAGAAGGCCAGGGAAGCAGTAAGCAGAGAGACTGTATAAGTTTTTTTCTTACATTTGCAGTGATGTAAACTACAAATGTAAGAGCACAAAAAATAAGTCCCTTAGATCTGGGCAGACCTACACGTGAACATATTTTTTCCCTTTCCTTTCTACTTCCCATTTCCCTTTCCTTTCATCTAGGAGTGGAATGGCTAGGTTACATAATAAGTATAAATTTAACTTTAAAAGAAGCTGCCAATTTGGTTTCCCAACTTGTAAGTACCATTTTATTCCTACCAGCAACATAAGGGTTCTACTTGTGTCACATCTCAAAGGCTTTTTAAAAAATGTCATAAATTAGTCATTTATGTATACACTTATTCACATATATATGTATTAATTCATCAATGATAGCTATTCTGTGTGAAGCACTATGCTACATATTTATCTATATGCTCTCCTTTCTCCATAAGGTACTCTAAATATACAGAGTCAAAGCATTTAACCCTAAGTGGCCAATAACCAACTGTCTCTGTACATTGGGATATTTCTTTTATTTGATGTTACCACCAATTTTTTTGGAAAGTGAAATTTACTTGTTGGATATCCTAGAGTTATGTTTTAGGAAATACCATTTAAACTTATTTTCAGCTTTTTAAACATCAGCCTTTACAAATTCCTGGAAAATCTATACCAACTTATTGTGGACTTTCTATTTTTTTTCTATTCTTTATGAAGGCTTAAGTTTCCATTATGTCTATTCCCTTTTATGGTTTGAGAATAATTTTTATGTATTATAGTTATGAAGTCCTTTTTTCTGTAATGTTATTTGCTGAAATAAGAATAAAAACCTGAAAAATATAGATGCTTAATCTTATTTCTCCTTTTACAATCTTACATTCTACATAATTATTGGTTTCCTCAAAGATATAGTACAGAAAATTTAACATATTTTGACTGTCCAAATAGTTTCCTGACAGTTCATATACAAACAGTGAATATAATGTAACATTTTGTATGTGTTTTGTATGATGTTTTATGATAAACTTAAAATATCTAGCATCTACGTACCTTATAAAATTCCTTTTTTTCGATCATCTCATTACCATCTGCATCCAGCATTTTAAAAGCAACATGAAACCCAGAATGGGGCTCTGTTATGAAGTAAAAAAATACATATTTAAATGGTGGTGAAAAGGAAATTATTTGTAGATACATAAATCTTTAAATTTAAAATAAACCAGCAGAAACCATATGAGTAAAAGTGCCTACAGAGAAAATTGTAGAGGTTTCCTTTTACAACATTTCCAAAGGTTTGTATTTGGCATTAAAGGTTTGAGCCCTGCCTTTTTGAAAACCTGTTCCATGGGTGCTGCTGTTTTGCTAGTAAGTAGTCTGCCCTTCAAAGCAAAATTAATTTGAAAACCTAATTTATTTTTTTAGCTGTACTAGGCCTTCCCTATATTTTTAAAGTATCTTGACTATGTTCACATTGATGATTAGTTTTACTTCCTTTTCTCAGAGTAGGTTTTTTTAATATAAAACCTTTACATTTTGCAAATCATTTCAGATTACAGGGGTTTTTAATATTCCTAAGGAAAGGCTAGCTCTATGAGTACCCTGTTCAGCAAAACTTCTATCCAGGGAAAAAAGTTAAAGGGTGCCACAGTGTAAAGGAGGTAGAAAAAACCTGTGGAGATAATCTAATCTAATGCTATCATTTTGTAGATCTAGAAATAAGGTACCAATAATATTTTAAATAATAAAGACATAAACACCAAACTTCTAGAAGTTTGGTAGGAATAGACAATTCCACATAATCACTAAAAAAAACCTGTGGTATACTTACTGGTGAGGATTGTGAGCAAGAAAAGATACTCGGTATATGAAATTAGCCCTGAAAAAGATAAAAGAAAAACAGACCAGAAAGTAAGTTTTAGATGGTGTAGAGATATTAATATTTAAACTTTACCAATTAAAAAGAAATCACATTTTTACTTTTTTAGAGAGAGGATCTCACTCAGGGTAGAGTGCAATGGTGCGATCATAGCTCACTGCAGACTCTAATTCCTGGGCTCAGGTAGCCCTTCCCAATTCAGCCTGCCTAGTAGCTGGGATTACAAGCATGAGCTACCACACTTAGCTCAAAAAACACATTTTCCCTTTAAATTAACTCTCTTTGGTACAGTTGAAAATTTTTATAGTAGAGAGTTGCAGTACAGTCTTAAAACTTAAAGATACTATGTTTTATCAGGTTACTATATATACTAGAAAGGAAGAGTGTGATGGTGAATTCTAAGTGTCAATCTGGCAGGGCCACAGATTAAACATTATTTCTGGGTGTGTCTGTAATAGTATTTCTAGTTGAGATTAGTATTTGCATTGGTAGACTCTGTATAGTAGAATGCCCTAAGCAACATAGGTGGGAATCATCCAATCAGCTGAACAAAAAGTGAAAGAAAGAAGAATTCACCCCTTCTTTTTTCCTAGCTTACTGGCTGAGCTGGGATACCTCATCTTTTTTTCCTCCTGCTCTCAGACTGGGAATGTACTACTGTCTCCCCTGGTATTCAAGCTTGTAGACTTGGACTGAATTACATACACTACCAGCTTCTCTGGGTCTCCAGCTTGCAGATGGCAGACCATGAGACTTTGGGGCCTCCATAATTATATTAGCCGATTCCTCATAATTAATCTCTTTATATCCTGTGGGTTCTGTTTCTCTGGAGAACAGTGACTAATACAGAGAAGGAAGGGATGCTGGCTAGCAAATAATAGGTATCCAACAGAAGTTTTATTTGCATGGTACTTTATGTAATTCCTACTTAAATTCTCCTATTCCTAACATCGAGCATAGCAAATGTTATCAATTCAGTAGAATAACAGAGATTTGGATAACCCAAGAGTCAAATGATATTATTTAAAATGTAATAGTCAAATCTTTGTAGCAGTAACTTGATTTTTCTTTGGGAAATCATTCTTCCCCATTCTCAAAATTACAATTGGGTTGGATGAGCCTATTTTCACCTCTGGAGGTAGATGCTTATTGGTCCAGGCCTATCACTGTACTTGTGTAGAACTGATGAGAGGATGTGTAAATAGTTCAGGCCCAAGCTACTGATCAGGCTGCATCTGGTGCCAGGGACTAGTTCAGGAATGGGCCATGACCTAAGTTGAGCCACTTGGAACGGCACTCTAGGTTTTTTGTTGTGAATGCAGAAGTGCTGACTTCTTTGAATGTGTGTGTGTGCGTGTGTGCGTGCACGCTTGGCTTTGATGATGTGAGAAATGTTATTCTCAGGAATGTGAGGGTATAGTGCCTGCAACTGTCAGAAGGCCGGTATTTAGAGCCTGACCATATAGTCAATCTTTAATTGGTAGGCCTAAAAAATGAATACTGCTGGTGTTTGAGCCGTGGATTAAGTTGGGTTTGAAGCTAACTCTATGTCTAGTCACTAAATAATAAACTTTCTCTCCTGTTCAAGTATATTATGTCAGGTTTTATGTTGCCTGTAATGAAAAAATTTCCATTACATACATAAGGTGTATTTTTAAAAATCATGGCACCTTGAAAAGCTAAAAAAATTTTTTCCCTCTGGATCATAAGATTGGTATAACAGCATAGTGCACATTTAACAATTAGAAATACTTTATTGTGGACAAATTTCAATCATATACAAAGTAGAAGAGACTGTAATGTTTTAGGATCTAAAAATCTGGATTCCAGTACCGGATAAATTGGTAGCAGCTCTGTTACTGATAATTTCTCATATACAGTTTCTCTTTGTCAGTTTCTCCTTTGTTATCTTAAAAGATTTGCCTTAGTAATGGCTCCTATTTCATGTTGGTCTTTAAAATCAACAATATGATAATATGATAAATATATAATTCATTATACTGAATAATAACATGATGAAATTCAGTTCCAATAATCACCAAATCCATGGTCTTGTCTTATATATACCCTTTTCACTCCCCATTTCCCACTGGACTATTTTGAAATAAATCCCAAATATCGTATCATTTCATAGTAAAAAAATTCAGGCGTAGGTACCTCTAAAATTTTTTTATTATCTCTGCCAAATAGTTATCAAATCTAAGAAAGGATCAGCAATTTCTTAACATCTTCCATTTTCAATCATTCAACTTCCCTAATAAAAATTTTTTTCGCATATGCTCAAATGAGAAGACAAAGAAGGCAATGTACTTAGTGGAGTCATCTGCTTTTTTACTGTAGTAAAATAAACATTACACAAAATTTACCATTTTAACTGTTCACATTGTTGTGCAACCATCATTAGAACTTTTTCATCATCCTAAACCAAAATACTAAACTCCCTCCCAAAACAAAATAAATAACGCCCCCCTCCCCCAAATATTGTGAAAAATAGGTGCAGAGTGAGAGGAAAACAGGAGCCGCGGCTGCCGCGTTTCTCAAATGGTCCAAGTGACGGTTAGTGGCAGAGGCTCAGCGCCACCTCGGGACCCCAGCCCGTTGCTGTGGGGGCGGGGCTCCAGGGCGTAGTCGCGGCTGCCAAAATTTTAGTTGGGTGGTAGTCAATGGGCTCTTTGAGGAAGGGCAAGGAGAGCAGAGAGTGAAGATAACCAAAAGCCAGTTTACAGTATTTCAATACTATGTCATAAAAGTCAGGTAATTTTCCACTTGTTCATCAAGATGGAAAACTCAGATTCTAACGATGAAGGAAATGGTGATCAGTCTACAGTACAGCGCAGACCAATTGGATCGGAAAGAAGCTTTCTATCGCAATTTGTACATAACCTGAGTGAAGAAGATTATAGGCTTATGAGAGATAACGATTTGCTAGGCACCCCAGGTCAAAGTACTGAGGAAGAGTTGCTAAGAAGACTACAACAAATTTAAAGAGGGCCTGCCGCCACAAAACTCAGATGAAAACAGAGGTGGAGAAGCTTCAGATCATGTGTCTAATGGTAACTCTGTAATAGACTGGCTTAACTGTGCCAGACAAACTGGAAATATGTCAGGAAGTGGGCAAAGAGGAAACTGATCTTGGACCATGTTCACTGCATTGATGGCTGGTTGTCTGAGAATTCTACCTGTCCTATTTGTTGCAGAGTAGTCTTAGCTTCTGGTAACAGAGAAAGTGTTATGTAATTAAGATGTGAACTCTCAGCTATGTAGCTGATATAATGATGAGCAAACAGGAATCCCTTGCTTTTATGTACACTTTGAGTGATACTTACATGTAAAGTAACAACCTGAACTGAGTCATTGCTTTCTGAAGAAATCATTTGTCCTTTCTCCAGTTTTTGTTCCAGAATAAAGGGAAATATTTAAAAAGTAATGTTTTAGGATCTAAAAATCCAGATTCCAGTGCCAGATAAATTGGTAGCAGCTCTGTTACCGATAATTTCTCATATACAGTTTCTCTTTGTCAGATTCTCCTTTGTTATCTTAAAAGATTTGCCTTAGCAATGGCTCCTATTTCATGTTGATCTTTAAAATTTTCCAGTCACAGGAGAGAGGGGTAGATTCCCAGTTTAGACTAAGTTATCGTTTGTTATTACTTAAAGCTCTATCATTCCCAGTGATCAGTTAACACACATTCAGCCACATTCTGAATATCATTTATTCATCTTTCAGACTAGGTGATACTGTACATGTCAGTGTAAATAACACCAAGGTTAGGATCTTCTAAGTGTATAACTGTTACCTAAGCCCATCACTGTGGCATACTGTAGAGTGAGATATAGTATGAGATATTTATCTTGTGGAAATATTAAAAAAGCCTATGCTTATGTAAGTGAAAAAATTACATTCATTTGTTTAAAAACGTAAAGCTATTTTTTAGAGGCTCAGTTCATAGGAAAACCTTAGTACCAGGAGATACATCTGTTCATTTGGGTGTTCATGTATACACATACACAGTCTTTTAAAAACATGATTATTGAAATTCATCCAAACTTTAGGAAACTGGTTTAGCTATATTACCTTAAGTAATGTCCTCACCCCTGGCAAAACATCTTTTCTGTGCCAAGTATTCTCCTCTAGTGTCTGTGTCTCAGATTATATTTATGGAGAGTTATCACTTTTTTTTTTTT